CTTGCTCTGGATTCCTCGCTGGAATACCGTAAAAAGCCCCTGCATACGCCCACCCTCCGTGTACACGCCCAGTCAGGGGAAGACAACACTTTTGTTTCAAAATAGCGCCCATGCCCAGGTATGCGGAAACACCAGTACATGTACAGGTACTGATACCCAATACTTACTGCTATCCCTATTCCAAGTGTACGCCCGGTTCCAAAATAACGCCCGTGCCCTTGTATACACCCAGGAAATCGAGGCTGCTATTCTACACGCCCGGGGCCTATACACGGGCTTTTACGGTATTCTCCGGTATAGACCAAGAAGTTTAGAAAACCTACTGGTGATATTAGTATGTTATACTAGTTTCTCCGCACTGTACCGCAGCTTTTGTTATCACACACATGTGGGTTATATAGTTTATCTACAATCCAGCATGATGTTCTTCCAAGAACGCCCCCGACCTAGGCCCTCGGAACGACGTTCTTGGGTGTGCAACATCACTTATAGTTCTAAATCTTAGAATTTAGCGCAGGATTTTAGTGATCACGGTTTCAAATGCATGTCATTGCACTCACCTTTGGGATAAAAGCTTGTCATAAAGAGAAGAGCAGACTTAAATAAGCATCTTGTACGCATGATTTCTAAAATGTAACGTCCCTGCCGAAGAGCGTTCTTCCATACTACAGTAGAGTCGAGCGTCCAAGAACGTTGTGTCCAAGAGGTTAGCCGGGGTGTTCTTATTTTTCAGCTGTCCGGCTGCGCTCTTATAGCATGTTCTTAGAAACAAACATGTTAGCATCATATGTATCCCGAAAGCTGCCGGATAACCAACACCCCCATTCTTTTAAAACTTTAGGCGGTGGCGTTCTTACCGTACTTCCGCACATATAGCGCATGTGCTTATGTCCGAATATAAGCGCACCCCTCAATTATAAGCGCATGTGCTTATATGTGAACACTATTGGTGAAAAGGCGGGAGCGAAATATACCACTAAGTGGTGTGATGACACCATTGCTTAGGACACAGACAAACCTGTATTGCGCATATAAGCGCATGGGCTTCTACCCGAACATGTTTACACAGCCAAAGATCTTTTTTGCAGCAAATTTTCGCTTATAAGCGCATGCGCTTATATGTGGGGAAGTACGGTAGCATTTCAGGCTGGACATTCTTGGTCAACACGTTCTTCGGTGCCCGTGTAGCACTGCACATGAAATACAGCTACTACAACTCTAGTAATATAGTCTTATTATAGATTGCCGATTATCCGAATGATTGATTGACTTGATTGTCCAAACTGCTCAGGCTGCATGGCAGCAGGCTGTCATCAACATGCATCCCATGATAATTTCGAGGAGCTGGAGTGTGTGCCAAAAAGAATGAGAAATGAAAGTATGCATGAGGAAATGAGTATGTTTTAGATGAGTGTTTTCCCACGCCCTTATCCGAACATACATGCACTCGATCGCCATAACCCCTGGAGATGACTCCATGCAAAGAGGAGTGCAGACCATCAGAGCCCACAAGTACTCCCAGGTCCCAGAGCTTTCGTCTCAACAAAGAATCATAATCGACGACTTGTAATGAACTACATTTTGATGGTATTATACCGTACTTGTTTACATTCAATTTAGGAATGAGTTTAAAGCATGAGAACTATCCACAGCAGACATTCTCACTGTTCGGAGTTGCCAAAAAAGTGGTGCATGTACAAATCAGGGATGGGTACAATACCAACATCTGAGGTGAGTCTATCAGGAAAGTGAATGTCGTCCACTCTATAAAATGGGTCCCTCAAGAAAGATGTGATTTTGCAGCCATGAACGTTTCCAGCCAGGTGACTGTATATACAGTGATCTAAGTTATGCACAGCTTGACATGAATGATTGGCTGGACACGTCGAAGAGAAGGAAGAGAGAAGCAGACCAACCTTACACCACCCTGAGCTGAGTGTAGTGGCCCAAACAACACAACTAATTCTGTGTGGCCTTAGAGGAGCTGGGCAAGAGGTGTATAGTGAATTAAACAATACAGTAAACGTGGGAGAAGTGACAAGACTGAGTATGATACACTGTGCCAGCACAGTGCACATACTAGTGCAACTGTTGGTGTAGTTACAGTTAGCCCACACAAGCAGGTCACTCGATTGTAGATACACAGAGCGCATTCTACATCATACAAAAACATGTTGAGCTAGGCAGCAGTGGCTGGCATTTACGACATGCACCAATGCCAATGCGCGGCTTGAGCAAATATTACAAGCCTCGGAACACCCATACTCCATTTTAGAGACAGAACAAGGCGATGAGTAAGCACCAAAGGATTATACGAATAGCGACCAGGCAATAATTCAGGCCACTGCTGCTAATCAAGGACTAGCTACAAGTACTAGTATGTTGTCAGTGTACCCTGAAACGATGCAATCACAGCGAACGTGATACATGCACATCATGTTGCCTGGTTCTTGGTTAAAAGTTGTATCCTCAATGCTTGAAGTTTGTGGGGTCCCTCCAGCTTCTCAGAGTCCTGCACAAAAAAGATAAAAGCAAGTGCAGGTAGAATAATAGTAAGCTCACATAAAACCTCTTAGTCTTGTTACCGAATTTCGTGATTAAATCCACACCATGGGAACGGGGCTACAGGAAAAAAAAGTTCAACCATAATAATGCAAAAAGGCAACTTTAGCTGATCATATTTTTGGCAGCAACACTATACTGTTTGTATAGGAGAGTTGGCTTGGTGCATTCATGCCAAATGCACTCCCTATTAGTATTGTATTACTGTACTTCATCATTTTACTTGGGCATTCATTTCCAGTAGCCCCAATGTCTTCTAACAGAGTGCGCAAGGTACTGCATATTCGGCACATATTTTATTTTCGGCTATTGTCGGCCTGTGCATTTTCATTCGGAAAGTGGTGGGCATCTTGTGCGCACGCATGCATTCTTGCCGGAGATGTCTACCTGTGGCGACAATAATTTTTTCATGGACTGATCTTCTTTTTTAGTGTTTGCACACTCTTGGCTGCTGCTGCTGTGGCGCTTTTGTATTTACATGCTGCTGCGCTCTGTACGGCTGCACTAGCCGTGTTAACTGTCGTACCCAGATGCACACATTCAATCCCTGGCTATGCTTTGGAATTGTTTTCGTTGCCTATGTCCTCATCTCTCTTCGTTTGTTTTCGCTGCCTGGGCTCTCATTTATCTTTGCGTGCTTGCTTGCTGGTATTGCTGAGGGATGCTGGTTTGTATTCGTGGGTCCCCATGGTGCATGGGCCACGCGTACTCATCCGGCGGATATGTGTGAATAATAATAATAATAATAATCACGCAACTGAATTGCAAATAAAAGGGGGTTTGTCAACTGACAACCGCATACTTTTTCGACATCACTAATAAAAGAATTTTTCGTCCAGCGCATGCGCCAAGAGTGAATAGCAACTGAATAGAGCGGTTGTCATTTGACAACCCCCTTTTATTTACTAGAGGAAACGCAAAAGGTAACAAGATTACGTAACCAAGGTGAGAAGGCACTGAACGAACTGTCAACCTACGAATACAACCTCAGTGCAACAATGTGCTCTTTCTGCTTACACAAGCAGAAAAGAGAAGAGCACGTTGTTGCCCTGAGGTTGTATTCGTAGGTTGACACTTCGTTCAGTGCCTTCTCCCCCTTTTATTTACTGGGCATTTGTAGCCTAAAATTT